CTGACCTTTGGGGAGGAGCCCTGTGTTGTCTCCTAGTGTTCAGGCCTCCTCCTGACTTTGCTTGTGTCTCAGGCATGCAGCCAACAGCGCCCCAGCGTCCTCTGTGCTTCTGCTCCCAGAGGGTAGGGATGAGGTGGGCGGTGGTTCGTGTGGCTCTGGAATCTCCAGGTCTTCCTCGGTGTGGATGGCATGTGGGAGCCCTATACTAAATGGCCCTTGCTGCTGAAGAGTGCCCGGTCCTGCCTATGCACTCACTGCCCAACTGCTGACTGAGATGAACCTAGCACACGGGATACACCATTTTGAAAGACCTGATTAACAGTGCTCCCAAACAGCAGAAAGCAGTTTGGAGAAAACGATGCCCATATTCCCAAATATTGATTGTAGGTGCTTCTTTACATTTGGGGGGATATGCTATGGAGATTTGCATTGGTATGGATTTTGGTTTATTGATAAAAATTTAAGGTCAATCTTGTTATATGTATATTTCTACTCTTGATTAAGGGATTGTGATTGTGTAGTTCATTCAAAAATGTGATATGTAATTAAGAAATACAGGTTAATAGATAATCACCTATAGTAGTCAAGATTTTCTAGATGTACGGAGACGTATTTCAGAAAGGTAGGCATTCTTCAAACCTTTCAATGACTGCAGAATATGGCATTTAAAATGTTTTAATGACTTAGGACTTTCATGACAATGAGACACATCTGCTCCTGCAGCACAAGCTACTTCAAGAGGAAGATGGGAATCGAAGAGTTTGCTGTCCATTTGGGCAAGAAACTGCTCTTTCCTGGACTGCATAACTGGACCTGCAGGACCCACAGAGAAATGACTGCTGAATTTACCTAAAGGTGAGACGATCCTTCAGGGTACCTGCTTCATGAAGGAGTCTGCCGAACATTCTGCAAGACACAGAAGAAAATGACTGACAAACTGCCAATATAAGTGAAACTGTCTTTGAAATTTCCTGCTTTATGGAAAAGTCTACTGGATACTCTGGGCCCGCAAAGACGGTTGGCCCAATGGTGCGCAAGAACTTTGGGTGACTGTTCAGATAGCGAGATGTCTCTGTCAATTCTTGCGTTTTGCAAGTTGCTTACAATGCACTTCCTGGTTACTTGGGTACTATTATATCCTTCTGGAGCCTTTGATGGAGTCGAAGAATAGATAGATATTGTTATAGTTTTCCTTGGTTATGATTAAAAAGTAGATAGAATACTTAGATCTGTAATTCTTGCTTGATACCTGTTTTGTTATATATAATTTTACCATGTTAAAGTTAAAGCCTTTCTTTTTATTTAAACCGAAAAGGGGAAATGGTGTGGAAGGTCCTTCTTTCTATGTGTTACTCTTATTGGTTAATGAATAAAGAAACTGCTTTGGCCTGTTGATAGAGCAGAACTTAGGTAGGCAGAAAAACTGGACTGAATGCTAGGAGAAAGAGGGCAAAATCAGAGAGAAACCATGGAGCCACCAGAGTCAGAGATGCCTAATCTTTTCCAGTAAGTCACTGCCATGAGGCAATACACAGATGAATAGAAATGGGTTAAATTGATGTAAGAGTTAGCCAATAAGAAGCTAGAGCTAATGGGCCAAGCAGTGATTTAATTAATACAGTTTCTGTGTGATTATTTTGGGGCTAAACTAGCTGGGCGGCCGGGACAAACAAGCAGATCCTCCACCAATAGAAGGTTGTGAGCTACTTAAATAGTTAAACATTCTGTTGTTTAAAAAAAAAAAAAAAACAAGTCACAGTCACACCCTAGACCAAAACATTTTATGGACAAACCACTTCCTGTGTGGAATCCAATGTTATCTCTTTAAAGAAACTGAAATTTTAGTTGGATCCTAGACTTTTGTTATAGTCAGAAACATATGTACTTCTCTATTCATGAAGCACAAGGTCTGGATTATTAGCCACGCTGTTGACAATAACCTTGAGAGAGCAGAACTCTCTTATCTGAATCTAGGTGGGACCTTTGTTTGAGGTAGAAATGCAATAACCTTGAAGGAATAGAGGTAAGTTCCAACTCTCTGACCTTTGGTCAAGGTAAAAATAGACATTTTTGGGCCTCCACATTGGGAAGCAAGATTTCCCCAAGGATGTGTTTGTGGAAGCAGTGGGTGTTATAACTGCTTGAGTGGGTAAGAGGTTAAGAAATGAGTTCCTTTACACCAAGACGTTCTCTAAATTTGTTTTTATGTAAACAGACATATGCTGTGATGTTCACACATCTTTGAAGCAACCAGACAGCTAAACTCAGGGATGAAGGAGCAAGCAAATAAAGCTGTTCCTTAGATGGACGCTTCTGTCCCGCTTGGTTCCACAGCCATTCAGTCTCAAAGAAACATTCAGAGGCTTATATTGATTATAAACTGTTTGGTCTATTAGCCAAGGTTTATTACTAACTAGCTCTTACAACTTAAATTAACCCATAATCCTTGTTTATCCACGTGGCTTGGTACATTTTCTCAGGGAATTGTTCTCATTTTACTTCCTCTGAATTGGGTTGGTGACTATGTCTCTCTGTCTTTCTCTTCCTAGAATTGTCTTAGTCTGATTGTCTTGCCTATATTTCCTGTCTGGTTATTGGCCAATCAGTATTTTAGTAAACCAATACAAGTGATAATTTTTTACAGTGTACAAGAGCATTATCCCACACCACAGTTCTGATTATTGTTGTATTAAAAAGTACTATCATTTCTGAGAAAAATCCCTTCAAAGTGTTCTAGATTGAAACATCACTCGCTTTATGACTATATTTTAGCACAGGGGCTGCGAAGGTTCCCCCAGGAGGTAAATGTGAAATTTCTCCCCATGCGCTATACATTCAAAGTTGCAGTTGCGCATTATGGATGCAAGATGGAGAAAGACTCTCCTTTGAATTTATGAGCTAACACTCCTGCTTGAAAGTAAAACCTTCCTAAGACAATGTCTTCCATTGCTGGTTCTAGGAGAAGAAATGTGCAAAGGTGCCTTAGAAGGTAGGGGCCCTGACAGGAATCACAAAACAGTATCAAGACACATACTGACGTACCGGTCCCGCCTTTAATCCCAGCAGTGGCAGGAGGATCTGAAGGCCATCCTTGAACTAATAGCTACTAACTAATTAAATCCCCTTATCGCTTCCTTTCCCATCCCCCATCCTTGAAAATTAAAAGTAAAAACATTTCACAGTTTTTCTTTTATTAGGACATAGGTACAGAATGGGATTGTTTGACAGTAAAGTGGATGTGTCTCGAATTTTTGAGGTCTCCCTTGCTGTTGTGCAGAACGGCCACGGCAGCTTTCATTCCCACTAGTGTAGGCACTTGATCTTTTCTCCATATCCTCATGAACATTCATATCTGTTTTGTTCTATAATTGACAGGAGGCAGGCTTGGAATTGCATCCTCTGGATGTGACTTAGAGGTGCAGACAGTGTATGAGGATAAACACTGACTCAGATCTGACAAGGCTCAGTCACCACATCTGAATTAGACCTGAGGTTTCACAAGCCTTCCTGGTGGAAATTAACCTCCACAGCTGGAGTTCAGAGATGATCTCAGTAGGATTCGATCCAATAGTAAATAAAGGCTGCAGTGGAAGTGATGGAGACAGGAAATCTAACTATTTGGGGTCATGGGAAAACATTCCATCCAATGTGCCTTGAGGGTCACTTGATTTCATATGTAATATCTGTGTGTGAGAGATGACTCATGAGCCATCAGAAAGGACTCAGTTGTTATGAACAGTGCCAGAAAGTCGTTACCAATACCATGCCAAGTTGTTACCAGTACCAGGTGAGCGTGCAAATGATAATTTATGGGACTATTTTCTTCAGATTTGTGCTCTGATGATGTCATTGCGTTACTGTAAAGACGAAGGTAACACCGTGCTGTCCCAACATTACTTTGTGCCTGCCTGGTCCCTTCTCGGCCTTCCACCTCCAACAGTCACATTCACGGTGTTGATGCTTCTGGGACTGTCCACGACCTTGACTATGGTTCAAATGTAGTGTCTGGAAGATACCCACGAGCCTGGTAAAGAACGAAGATGTTACTAGGGAACTCTAAATCCCTCAGTAATATATCTCCCCAGCACTGATGTAATTATGGTTTTGTTTTTTAAAACGCTGTATCCATGAGCTCGGGTACCATGAAAGGGAAACTTTCAGAGGCTCGAGCCCATTGTTGTCTGACCTTTAATAAAAGACTCAAAACTTTGTATTGGCTTAATCAGTGTGCATGTCAGTAGTAATGTGTGCCTGGAGGACCTGGTGCGGGTTGAGTTGGGTGGAGACTCGGGTAGCCAAAAAGGATCCGGAAATCCGGGTGAAAGGGAAAAGGGGAACAGTCTTTGGCTGTTTGTGGGTGTTATGTAGCGGTCGATCAAAATTTTTTGATGAAAATTGAAGGGAAAAAAATGTGTAGTCCAGACTGGCCTCGAACTCCAGATCCACCTGCCTCTGCTTCCTTCAGCAAATCCTACCGGTCTGCGCCACCAGAACCGGCGGGAGCTGCTGTTGTTAAACTGCTACTTGAGGATGAATTCCGGTGACGCCACTAGCACCGCCCCCCGGAGGAGGAGAGCGGAGTTTTAGAAGCAGTTCTAAATCCCACCTCCCCGTAATCCAAACCTGAGCTTTAACAAGCCTCCCTGTCTGCCCTTTACCCTAAGGGAAAGCAGCCTCACAATGCCTGGAGACGATGCCCGCTCACATCCGCTGTCGGTCTCCCGGGAAACACTCCGGCACGGCCCGACAGATCCTCAGCCTAAGCTGCAGCTCCGCATCCACTCACAACTCAGTGCAGAAAAACACCTTCAACATTCACCGAGTCTCAGTCACCTACTTACTGTCTTCACACTGCTTTTCACCACACATCCATTGAGTCAGTGGCAAATACAATCTCAAGTAAAATACAATTAGTACTTTCTTACCTTTTCTTACACGAATTTACAGTCATAGGCTTTTAGCTCCTTAATTCATTCTGACTTCATTGCTCTGTATGGTGAACAATAACACCCAAATCTCCGTGCTCCTCCAGTTCTCCCATCGTCATTATTCCTAGAGTGGCCATAGACTGTGCCCCTCACTTCCACGTTGTGTTTTTGGCACCCTTGTCAAAATCGTGTGAGCATTTGATAATACTCATTGTTCTGTAATCTTTTACTTTGGTTTCTTTTTCTCTATGTCAGTACCATATTTAATTTGTTATAATAGGTTGCTAAAATATTTTTACATAAGCCTACTAAGTCCTACAGCTCTGTGTGTTTTCAAAGTGTTTTGAATGTTTCAAATCGGTGCAGTTCTAGTAGACGTTATTAAGGTTTTGACAGGGATTGCTTTGACTCTGTGTTTGCTTTGTTAGTATGGACGTCTCAATATTTACTCATCCAAATCATTAACCCAATATGTCATTTATTAGTGTTTGCTTTAATTTTATTTAGCAATGCTTTCTGACTCTACTATATAAAGCATTTGCATTATAATTTGGTTTATTTCTAAATTTAATGCCAAGTTGTTACCAGTATCATGCCAAGTTGTTTCCAACACCATGCAAAGAAGCAAGCATGCTCATCATAATAGTTCCTTCAGATTTGTGTTATAATGGTGTCATTGTTTTACATGAAATGACTAAGTAACATTAGCTATATGAACTGATGAAGGTAACATTGTCCTGTCCTAATATACTTTGTGCCTGCCTGGTCACTTCTCAGCCTTCCACCTCCAACAGCCACATTCACGGTGTTGATGCTTTTGGGGCTGTCCATGACCTTGACTATGATTCAAATGCATTGTATAGGGTCTGGAAGATACCCACAGCCTGGTAAAGAAAGAAGGTGTTACTAGGCAATTCTACATCCCTCAGTAGCACACCTCCCTAGCACTGATGTAATTATGGTTTTGTCTTTTAAAGCACTGTACCCCTGAGCTCAGGCACCAAGAAACCTTCCTGAGAAAGAACCCGTTCTTGTCTGATGGTTAATAAAAGACTCAAAACTTTGTATTGGCTTAATCAGTGTTCTTGTCAGTAACTACCTCTTGTGGAACCCTTCATTGTCAGGCAACCTTGTCAGGGTTTTGTTGCTATGTTAAACACCATGACTAAAAGCAACTTGGGAAGGACAGGGTTCGTTTCAGTTTAAAGTTTACAGTAAGTCTTTGAAGCAAAGTCAGGGTAGGAACCTGGAGGCAGGAACTAAAGTAGAAGCCATGGCTACTTACTAGAGTCTTTCTCCTCCTGACTTGCTCAGTTTGCCTTCTTATACTATGTAGGATCATCTTCTCGTTAATCAAGAAAATTCCAGACAGGCTAACTTACACTCCAGTTTTATGGAGTCCATGCTTTGTGCCACTAACTATGACTGGGTGGGGTGGGGGCCCACAGCCTAGAAAGAGTGAGTGCAGAGATCTGGATGGTAAAGTAATCGGGTGGGATTCGCAGTCAGGAGTCGTTAAGCGAAGTTTCAGAGATGTTTTGGTTTCTTTTGGCAGATCCAATTGTTGTGTGAAGCACAGCCCTCAGAAATCACTTTGTCCTCTGAGACGGAGACACAGCTGTTTATTTTAGTTTCACCAGTAGTTTTCAATCTGAGGAGGAAGAGAACAGCCACTCTTAGTGTTTAGGATTTTCTCCTCATTATCTTGAGTTGGCCATGTTTTCCTCTGGACTTGTAAGGACTGTAGAGTACATAGTTATTAATCCTAGTAAACCCAGAATAACAACAGGCAGGAGCATTAAAGCTAAAAATTTGTCTGACCAAATGTCCAGTATAATTTTCAATAACAATGTGCGCATAGTGGAGTTGGTGAGGTTTGAGTGTGGTGGGGACGAGGGTAGGCGAACAAGATCATGGAGAGCGTCCCTGTGGCTGTTGGGGCGGTTGGTTGTAGGTGTTGAGGACCCTTTAAGTGTTTTTGTTGAGAATTCAAAGAAAAAAAATGTGTAGACCAGGCTGTCCTCGAACTCCAGATCCACCTGCCTCTGCCTCCTTCAGCAAATCCTACCGGCCTGCGCCACCAGAACCGGCGAAAAGCAGCGTATAAATAATACTATTGAAGCTTCTCACAGTGACGCAAGCTAACGTTCGCGTCGTGGTAGACCCACAGCTTCAATGACGTCAACAATGTCTCCTCTCAGCCCCAAACCTACGCTCTCCACCAGCTTTACGCACACTCTCCGCTGAACGCCTGCGTTCTCCGGCCTCACGACCGCCGCCCTCACTCCGGGGAACCACACCTGCGCAATACCATAAGGTCCCGGGCCCCGCGGCCCCTGCTGGTCACGCTGGGAAACCCTGCGGCCCCGCCAGGCAGCTCTGCGCTCAGCCGCAAGTCCCTGCTGCTCGAGGCTCTCTGCTCCGCAGCCCACGTGGACTCGCTATCCCTCTGCCCTGTCGCTCTCCACATTCACAGCAGAAGATCAGTGACTGAAAGGAGCTGCACATGGAGGTGGTCTTCCTCAGGGATGACTGACAGGTCTCAAAACTCAATCTTCGGGGACCTGCTGCGGCCACCAGCACTTGGAGGTTTGACACTGATTTCCACGTGCGGGACTCCAGGAGAGGCCAAGTTAGGACTGGCAGAGAACTCGATATGGAAATAAAGCTGTGCGTGAACACCGCTGGCTCTTGCCCAGTGGTCCCCGTCACCATCACCAGGGCACTCGCCTTCCTTCAGCTGTAAATAACCCCTTCAAGGTGCCCACCTGCTCAGGCGGACTCCCACACCCCCAGCTTTAAGCGTCCTTGCCAAGAGTGGGTTCAGGATATCCCCCCAATCTGTGCAAGCCCTGAACTTGGTTGTAGCAAGATGTTAATAATTTTCAATCTTTAAGCCCAAGGAAACGGAGTGTGGACAATTCTTTCATAGACAGCCCAAGGTTGTCCGTTAACACTTAACCATCACTGTTTTGTTACCTAAAAGGAAAAATTAAAAAGGAAAGGAAAACTTCTTGAGCATACGTTCTGAAATATTCGGGAATGTTTTGTGAAAGCATTAAAATACTAGTGATGGTCAAAAATGGGTTCGGAATGTGTGTCTCTCTACAGTGCATTAGACTTCATCTCTGTGAAAAGCACAGCAGAGGTGTAGGTGGGAAGTACTTTGTTCCACTTAGTTTTGGAGTTTTAGTCTTAACAAGTTCTTTCTGGGTCCATGGAGATGGCCTGAGATGGCAGACTGCTTGTGGCAGAGCGAAGCTTCCTTCAGAGCCCTGAGCAGTGAGACTGAGAGCAGACCAAGGACGAGACTCGGCTCCCAGTGTCTCTCAACCCTGAGACCCCACCTTAGGAAGCTTCCCTCGCTTAATTGATTTGATAAGACTATTAAATTATGAAGCCATGTGTGGGTGGATCCATTGGTGGAGGCTGAGCCCTTACTGAACGCATCCATAATCTGAGATCAAGCCTCCCCTGCTCAGAGTCTGCAGGGCACTACACTAGATCTAAACTCAACAGAGACCATACAGGACTATACCCATGTGCCCAACATTTCAGGAACCATAAACTGAATAACAGCCATGCCCATGAACCCCCACCTCCCCAAAGAAAGAAAGAATCAGACTGTAATTTGTTGTTTTGCCATCCACACAGTGGCTGCGCCTTAATCTACTGCTATTTCAGCCAGCAATTGCGACTCTGAAGTTACTGGCCTGCTTCTTTGCCAATGGCCTGGCCTGTCAGGCCACAACCTGGCGGGAATTCTATTCCCACAGGCACTGGCCCTGTTGCTGTTACTAAAGGTAGTTTTAAATCTCTATTGTTCTAGTTCTAAATAAGACTCAAAATTCAAAGGCTGGGATGAAAATCTGCAAGCTCAGAGAGGCTGAGTAGCAACTAGCTAACCCTCTCTCCTTGCTGGAGTCTCCTAAAGCCCCTGCCCTCAGCTACACCTAAGTGTAAAAAGTCAGGCCACCCCAAATCCATCCTGACTTCTTCCTATGTGTCTCCTTTACTCTTACAGATGCCCCCTGATGCTCTATGATTACATCCTGTCAACTAGTTACTAACTCAACCTCCTGACCCACGGTTAATTTATTTAGGGAATGCAAACTTGGGGTTCACAGTGCGATCCAATACGCTCCCCCAACAATAATTTCCCTTGTTCTCTTTACCAAAGCAGACAACATCGTTGTCTTACTGTGGATTGTGGAACAGAATAGAGGCAAAGTGGGGGCCTCCAAGCAACCTCAGTGGGCACATTGCGAACTCTTATGTATTTGAAAAGAAGTCTTCAGTTCTCTCTTCCTGTGCATCCATGTGTGTCTGTATGTGTGTGTGCTGCAAGCTTTCTGTATTAACCTCAGAACCTCACTTCTGAAGCAAGCACTCCAGCATCTGAGCAACAACTTGAACCCCTCTGTCTGTCTTAGATCGGCCATATCTCCCATCTCTCCCTAAGATGACTTCAGTCCTGCCATGTTCCTTGATTGAAGTCTTAAAAGAAACTGGGTGAGAGTTTTTTATGACCGAGAGAAGTTTTTTCTCTCTCCACTTAGGCAATAATCCCAATCAGACCAAATCAGACCTAACTGGAAGATACCCAGGTTTAATGCATGCCAGCACTCCTGGGTAGCCTCCCCCCCACCCCCACCCTGGAAAACACAGAGAAGGGAGGAAAGGAGAACTTGAAAGACCACAAAAAAACCGGGAGACCACGTGTTCATTCTCTGGGGAGGGGCAGTTTAAATAGACTGTGGGAGTGGTCCTGACCCTTCCTGGGGAGGGGTCACCTTTGGTGGGCTTTCTTGAGGCAACTCCCAGGGGAGGGAGCTTTGAGATGGAACTTTCCAGTCAACATTTCAAGACAGATGCCAGGGGAGGGGGTGAAGCCCCCAATCAAATCAAATATTCCAGACTTTCTTTGGATAAGGATGTTAGGGGCTGAGGTGACACTTTTAACCAAACAAGAGCAGACAGCTCGTCTATCCCATCCTTCTGACCTGCAGACTGTCACGTAAAACAATGGCTGTTATATTAAATCACTAACACTTCAGCTTCAACAAAACCAAGTATAACCTTCAATAAAGACCCATACAGCAGAAGGAAATGTGAAATGTGCTAGGAAATAGAACTTTCAACCTGGATTCCAGGAACCAGACTCTGGCAGTCTGACTTGCAAAGCCAGCACGTTTGGTAGCTGAGCCACCTTCTAACCATCTTCTTTACTTGTGATGAATATAGTATTTTGTTTGGGGTTAGGTTTTTTTTCCCAATTTGAAGACATCATTTGAATAAGTCTATTTTTTATCATTGCAATGAAATATTTAAGCGACATAATATAAATAAAGAAAACTGCTGGGATAAAGGGATGCACTACCAGAGCCCAGCAAGAGTTTGTTCATTATACAAAACAACAGGCTTCCTTGTTACACCAATCATGTATACATAATATGTTTTGGTCACATTGACCACCCCTTCACAAATAACCCTTCTACTTTCATGAAAAGAATTTTCTCTGGTTTTTAGTTTTGAAGGCTAACCTGATGTGGGATTCCCCTCTGTATTCTGTGAATATGATTGGTTAATTAATAAAGAAACTGCTTTGGACCTACAGCAGGGCAGAACTTAGGTAGGCAGGAAAACTAAACTGAATGCTGGGAGAAAGGAGACGCTGAGAGAAGCCATGGAGCCCCATTTGGAAACAGATGTGCTAAAATTTTGCTGGTAGGCCATGACCTCATGATGATGCGCAGATTAATGGAGATGGGTTAAACTAAGATGTAAGAGTTAGCAAATAAGTCTCTTGCAAACCCTAAAATGGCTCCCTTAGTTGAGATAAAAACTTCCCTGCTCCCATAACCATCCTTC